TGCTTTCCCTCTCTGTGAATAACACCGCTTCGAGGCAGAGCAAGAAGGCTGAAGATGACGACGACGACCTACTCGATAGCCGGGACCGCGTGGAGGACATTGCCAAGTTTCCCTACGTTGAGTTCACGGGTCAGGACAGCATCACCTGCCCCACTTGCCAAGGCACTGGCTGCATCCCCCCAGGCGATGGGTTTAAACACGAAATAGGAAAACGTCGTGGATACCATGAGCGACTTCGTGTCTGTACGGACCCAGTTAACCCGTTCCTTCTGCTTTCCAGAGCAAGTAAACGAGTTGGTGGCTCTGATACCCTACAGTGACCAGCGGCTCCGGCCGCAGAGGACGTAAGTGTGTAGTAAGAGCGAAACTGCGTCTTTGCAAACAGGGCTCTTTGTTCCTTTACTGCCTGACTAAGCGTTTTGCCCGCTCTGCAGCCTCTCCTTCATCTGGCAGTTTGTTTTTAACCAAGTATGTCAACAAATACAATTTAAAGCGTGGCTTTAAATGCTTCCTGTGAAATCCCACCGCAGCGTGAACGTGAAAACAATGGCCCTACTCACACACTTCATCCCCACACCCGCTACTCAAGCTCTGAGAAAGAAACTGCCTCATCCACAGCACAAACCGGAGACTGTGAAAACGCTCTGGGGGCAAAAATAGTTCTTTGGTTACTCATTACTAAAAAGTAAACTTTAAAGGCTGACGGTTTTGAGCAATTTCAGGTATTGAGGATGTTTGAGCGGCGCTTCGGTGTCCGTTCCAGGGAAGAACAAATCTCTGGTGTTTGCTGACCGGGTTGGGTTTTAGGGACAAGGTCTCTTGCAGCTGGAGACGCCGTGTTAGGGCAAAAGGGGTGACGGTGTCTCTGCCTCTTCCAGGAAGCTTTACGTCCTGCTCTCGGTGCTGCTCTGCCTCCTGGTGTCGGGGCTGGTGGTTTTCTTCCTCTTCCCACGCTCGGTCCTGGTGGACGATGACGGGATTAAAGGCGTTCAGGTTTGGTTCGACAAGAAGAACTCCATCATCGTCCTCACCATCACGGTAAAGATCTTCCGCGCGTCCCGCTCCCGAGGGCGCCGAGCCGCCGGGAAGGCGGCCGCTACTCCTCGTCTGCCCCCTTCTCTCCACCCAGGCCACTTTACGGATCAGGAACTCCAACTTCTACTCGGTGACGGTGACCAGCCTGACGAGTCAGGTGCAGTACATGAACACCGTGGTGGGGAGCCAGCAGATCACCAACGTCTCCAGCATCCAGCCGCTGAGCAACCGACTGGTATTCACCTATTTCGTAGCATAAAATCACCAAATCGAGTAGGAAACCTGCGAGTAAACTCGATACTCTGTGCCTTAAAGCTTTGCTTGGTGAAAATAAACTTAGGGCTGGAGTAGCCCCTGCTTTGTGACACCCCCTGAAAGGCAGCAGCAAGTAGGAAGGACTCTGAAAAGGGTGGGTTTAAGCTCGAGTACTCGAGCCACACGTGAATGTATTTTTATTTTATGTTTTCCAGGTGAATTTCACCGTGAAGGCGGAGCTGGGCGGACCCTTCTCCTACGTGTAGTAAGGATGCGCTGCTCTCTGCACGTAACTGGGGAGAGGGGGGCGAGATTCAGCTGCTTTGATTTAGAATTTGCTCTGGAAATGAGTCGTTTGCTGCTGACTTCCTGGACAGTCACTGTCTGCTAGAAAGGACTTGAAAGGCCTCGTTGTCGGGATGTTGTGACGCGGTTCTTGGACCGTGTCTTGACTCGAGTTGGCGGCCGAGGGAAAATCCTTGTCGGAAGATATCGAGAAACTCAAGTATCTCTGCGTGGCCCCCGCTGACCTGTTTCTTCGCTTCTGTCTCTTCCAGTTTCTTCTGCACGTTTCCCAAGGTGAAGGTCCACAACATCGTCATCTTCTTGAGGTGGGTGCTTCCTCCGCTCTTCTCCCGGCTCCAAAGGGAGCTGCTGCCGCAGCAAATCTAGGGGGCACGAGTTAAAATCCCGCTTGGCAAGCACCTCCCTCCTGCTTCCACGTGTCAGCTTTTCGCGCGGGCCGGGTGACACAGTTGGGTGAAACCGTTAAGATGGAAAAGCAGAAGATGACGAGCTCTCACGTGGGGGCGGGCGCTGTCCGGACTCGGCTCCGTGCGTCCCTGCCAGCCCCACTGGGCAAAACCCTGAGGATCTGCAGCTTTTTCGACGGGGAAAGAGCGGCATAACGAGCGTAAAACCCTCCGGGTTGGTTCATTCTCGCTCTCGCGGGTCCTGTCACCCCTACCCCTAAACTGCTCTTTTCCCCCCCCTCCCAGGACGTCGGTGAAGCTCTCGTACATCGGGCACGTGACGCAGAGCGCGCTGGAGACGTACCGCTACGTGGATTGCATTTTTTTTCCCCGTCGCCCAGGACCCCCTGCTCCTGCCTCCCGCCTGACGCGGGGGGCACCCAAAGCCGAGAGCGAGCCCTGAAGGCGCAGAAAGATTTCTAGAAGGGGCTGGGAACTTCGAAACGGAAGCAGAGGGGGGTCAAGAGTGACTTTTCAAGGTACTCGAGAGCTCTTGGGGCTCTTCCGCGCGCAGCCGGGCTGCGCCAAACCCGCGTGGGGCGCGAGCAAACGGGGTCCCTTCCCCAAATCCAGCTCCTGCTGGGTGTCCCCCTCCCTTTTCTGGTTGGGGAGACTGGACCCCCGAGCTTCGTGCTTCGAGATCTCGAAGATCCCAAAGGTTTAGCGTCGGTTTTTCGGAGCTTTACGCCGCGTCAGGTCCTTTCCGAGTAAACGTGAGTTGACTTGAGCAAAAAAAAAAACCCCAAATTTCAGTGAAGGATGCTTGATTTTGTGAAATAAAAGCACACCTTGCTATTGATTTTTTTTATTATTATTATTTTTTCCTGTCTCGCTGAGTTCCTAGAGCCACATTCTGACTAAAACTGAGCTGGACGTTTCCTGAAGAAAAGCTGCGGCTTCCTCAAACTTCGTCCTCGCTCAGTATCACGTCACCTCCCGCCCAGAAGGATTTCAGCGCTTGGGGATGAGTTTTTGGGGTGTTTTGAGGATCAGGAAACTCCAGCAGGGAGCAACGAAGCGTCTCCGTCCCCACCTGGGTCACTCACGGCCCCGGGCGGTCACGAGCTTCTCGCACGACTTCCCTTGAGTTCTGACGAGTCAAACTTTTGGGGTTTTTTTTTGTGTAAGGAAGACGAAATCCCAATTTTTGCACCTCGCTTTGGGCCGATTCCGTTTCTCCTCCTCTCGCCCCGCCAGCCCTGCCCTCGGGGCTGCTGTTTTCCTGCTCCTCGGAAGCGGCCGCTGCGGGGGGTTTCCTTTGAAA